CACAGACGTCACAAGAGCTGTCGTAATGCTAATCAGAGCGGGATCCGTAACGGTAGGATTAGCTGCCGCCATCGAAACCAAGGTCGATGTTCTAATTTGAGTTGTAGTCAAGGTATTTGAAGACGCCAGAACAGCATCCGCATTGATATAGATGGCCAGAAGAGCATCGTTCGGCACGGTAGCTTGACGGCGCGCCAACCGAGAGAGGGTACGATATCCGCCGCAATGCTCATCCGGATTGCCAAGGCATGGGATACTGCACAAGTCGCGAGCCACAGTTGTCACATTATCATAATTGTCAGCACAATAACAGTTCCTAAACATTGTTAGTGGCTCTGGCTCAAGGCAAACAAGTCGTGCGACCTACGTGTTATGGACACCTGCGTAAACGTGATCTAAGCATGCAGTCGTGCACATTTCCAGATCCATATCGTCGCTAGAAATCTCCTAGCTGAAGGAAGGGTAGTTCTCATCAGATCCAGTACAGCCAAGGAAGTTGAACACACCAATTGACGCCGGGAGAGGGTCGACTGTGGCTGTGGCAATAGCGCTAGAGGCAACTGTGCTGGTAGGCTCGGATGATACCGAAACGGGAGCAAAACTTGAGGGGATTACGCTCTCGGTTACTGGCGAAGATTGAGAAGGAACACCGGGCTCAGATGCCGTGGGAAAGATGACGAAGCGATGGTTCTATTAGAGAAAGGCACCGATCGAGAGGGGCCGACAGGCGAGCCCGAGGTTTCTGGTTCAATACTTGTAGTTATTTCAGGCTCGGAAGTCCTTGAAGTAGATGAAGATTGGCTCGAGCTGTCTACTGTTATAGTCGAAGACACTGCAGTAGATGAAGTGGTGGTTGTAGTAGTGTAAACATCAGGCAGATTGCACAGCCTAGCTCCATCAAATCCATGAGTTCCATGGATGCAGAGGCAGGCCGATGAGTCATAATAGCCGAACTGCACATGGCTGAAATCCGATTGTAATGTTATTAATATTTAGAAGAAGAGATTAGATGACTGAAGTGGCCCGTGACTCGTATTGCTGAAGTCGACGTTATCTGGACACGGAGACTGCCTGTAATGCGTGGGCGTGTTTTGGGGAGGCTGTACGGTTGAGTGCCCATACCCTAACTGAGGCCGAGGTCTATCAGGATGTAATTGTCTAGATGAAGGATACAGATCTTGATGGAATGCTGCTGTTTGCGCCACGAGGCCAGACTGAGAGATGATCGGACCGCCGGCACCGCCAAAGCCAGCTACGCCAAGGTTGTCTTCAAAATGGCGTGAAGATACGGATTGTTCGTTATGCTGCGAAGCAAGTAGGGCCTCATTCTCCGTGAGTGCTTCAAAAGATAATGGCATCGACCCATGGTGGACCAAGTCACTAGAGTTAGTCGCATAGAAATGCTGAGCCTGGGGGTCGCAGTCCCAAGTCAGATGACTGCTGTTGGCAATCGAGAATGTTGTCGACGCGCGGACTGAAGACATCTCAGTTCCTATTCCAGAGTCTCGTAGAAACTGGTGTTCAGGAAAGCCACGGGGCCTGGCTCGTCTCTTCGGGTGAGAAGTAGCGGTCGTCGGCTTTGTTCTGTTAGAATGATCCATGGTTCTTGCTCTCATCCGGCAGCTCTCGACAGCCATAAGGAAATTTTCCGCAAGCATATGCTGTAGCTCGCCAACTGCTGTATCGTCACCAAGTACACCAAAGCGTCGCTGCAGCGAATCTGCCAGGATCGAAAGAAGTCCTCTGTACTCGGCCTCCAGGTCGCAGTCCTCCATGACAACATGGTAGTCTTCTATGATCAGCTTCGCACAATTAATGGGTCAGCTGTGACACTCACTATGAATAGGGACATTCGGAGTGTCAGGAAAGATCAGATCCCAAAGCTCGTTCCATTGCGCTTCAATTGAGATTTCGCCTCCAGCCTTGGTTGTTTGCCTGTTACGATCCAGAATTCTTCGAGCCGTCTCACCATCGACACCGTCCTCTGGATCTACGGGCTTGCTTTCACAGGGCTCTACTTGCTTAGCGTGATATTGTTGTTCGCCCTTAGTCGCAAATACTTCATTACAACGATGACACGGGAATTTGCTGGGATCTTCCCGGTGGTGTTTCTTGACGACGTGTTGCCTAATTGATTTAATCAGCAGCTGTATATAACAATGTAAATAAGGTATTATCTTAGTTACTCACCTGAGATCTGACATGGAGGGAAATGAGGTGAGGGCACATCCTTGGTGATCCCGGACATTGAAGCGTATTTGGTTTCTCGCGCGAAATGGGCAGCGAAGTCGCGTATCTTCCCTGAATGGACGCTTCTTTGCTGTAGATGCCACTAGTACTTCGAGACTGTCTTCATTGCTCTGTCCAAGTCGAGAGTTCCATTCACTTTGTCGCAGATCCAATGATGTTGCCTCGTTACCTCTGTTCTCTTCGCCTGTGGCGCTATGATGTCCCTGTTCAGTCACCTCGTTGGCAGATGGTACACTGTCAGTACCCGGAGACTCCGTCGCATTCTCTACTAAATCGGCTAGAGTTTCGGCATACTCGAGGGTGAGATTGCGACAAAGATCTCGTCTGCTGCTGTGCCCAAGATCTGCAAGCTCAATGCCATAGGTCGATCGCAGGGTGAAAGTCAGTATCCTATCCACTTCACCTTCCGACACATCTTGAGTGATTGTATTGTTATCATCGGAGTCATCATCTGTAGTTGAATGGAGGCTAAGATTGGCGACCGATATCAGAGGCTCTATGCCGGTATCGGAAGTACCTTCATAATCCGAGCTCACTTCTATACTGTCACTTCTATACTCTTAGCACATGACTGGCATCAGTGCAGACGTTTATGTAGTGGAAGGTAATTGTGACAAGACTCAAGTGCTGATAATCGAGAGATGCACATACCTTGTATTATGTTCACCCATCTCTTCATCTGAGGTGTCATCGAAGTAAGAACGTGGCGATGGGTCTTCGAAGTCCATAACGACACCCGAGTCCTTGGAACTAGATTGGAATGAAAATCGCTCAGGCTTAACCACAGGGCCGCTCTCGTCAACTTCTTCAATTTCGTCTGACATCGAAAAGTCTGATGAGGGTGTATCATGAGATGATGGAAGCTCAGGAGTGACTAAAGTTTTGATTGATGACGCGTGGAGTTGCCGGAACTCAGAAGTTGAAGTTCCACAACAATCAGGCAAATAATCAGCGTCTTTTGAGACAGAAGACTGGCGACACATATGAACTGAGGATGGCCGCTTTCCGAATGGCATAGAGCATACACATAAGCCATTGACCCGTTCAAACTCGTGACAGGTTCCTATGTTGGACAAGTGGGCCGATGTTGACCGCTGATGTTGGGCCTGGCCACCTTCGGAGCTTAGCTTCGTTGGCCCCATTTTCATTATGCTCACAGGATGTCGTTTTCTACCGCTGCAGGCATCCACAGTCTATTACGATCAGAATCAAGTCGAGCGAATGAGAGAGAAGATCGAGTGGATAAACGACGAAAGTAACGCGGAGAATCGTGAATGAATAATTGAAACGAATCGTTCGAATCGGAAGAGATGAGACGAAGCTGGCTGGGTCGTTGATAACGCGGCTTGCTGGCGAACAACGCGCCTTGACTCGGTTGCCTCACCCGAGGGCAGTGACAGCCTCTTTTCAGGGGTAGTTCGAGGCGCAGGGGTACAGGCTTCCTCCCTCCCTCCGCACAAACGCTTGGAGAGCTTCGTATTAGCTCAGTGACAGGACATCTCCCAACAGCATAGCATATATGAGCGGATCTGTTAGCGAGTGCTAGTGTCTTAGTCTAAGCTACCTCGCCCTTGTGACATGGGTTGTGCCGCATGCAGCTGATTGGTTTATGACAGCAATAATGACCAATTGTCCCTCATGGACCAGGGGTTTGTCATATGTACTAGCCCCACCACAATGCGTCTGGCATCATGTAGGTGAGCCTGCCAAATTATAACGGGCATATCGCTCAAAACTAGGTTTCGACGCCTCTAAGAACGAAATTAAGACCGTGTCTTTTCATACTGCTCTACACTTCAGCATTTGAAGCATGAAATTGAAGCTCTTCACCAGTATGTCTTTCGTTTTGGGCGTTAGACAGGGATACTCAAGGCAAACACATCTAAAGCTGCTGACATGACGGCTACCATGAACTCTGCACGATTCAGAACATGAGGACGTTCAATTCATGGTCATACTTCGACATAGGAGTAGTTAAAGAATTGTAGCATCATAAATATATATTACTTTCGTCTTGAGTTTGAATAATAGAATGATTATAAAGGTCGACACTTCAGTGACAACCAGAAGCCTACGTCAAAGTCCTTCAAGTCGACTTCAAAAGAACAACATCTCGTGTCAAACATCAAAATTCCAGCTATTGCGCAGCACACACGTGTACAAAAACGGTGTGTTTTTTTGGGAGAGAAAGAAAATTTAGTTGTCAATATAAAACGCCGAAATCATGTCTACTGTTGGACAGGTCGGATCTTATAATTCCATAAACAGTGAAAATAGGTAAGAATCTCTGCACATGGTTCGAGACGACAGTTTCCTTGTTGACTATGGGTATAGTATCTCATCAGAGCCGCATTCATCTATGCTTCTCAGGTTTATTCACGACACTAAGACATGGCCAGACCGGCTAGTCCAGTTGCAACAACGGCAATATCATGAAAGCAATGCTACGACTGAACACACTGGAAGTAAGCATGACTACAGGACACGAACGACGAAAGATCGGTCCATGCCAAGATAATGTATCCTGAGCTTAAAAACGACAGTTTTGTATACTACCAGCAGTGGCATTGTTAATGTTGAGTAATGTGACAACAGCATCACGGAGCTGATGGGAAAGTACAATAACAACTTCATTGAATAAGATTATCAAATGTATCAGTTTTCTCTCGTGACTACACTAAGTGCGCATGTAATTCTTGAAAGAGGAGCAGCCCAATAGAGTGGTGACCAGACACCAGGATAACAAATGCCTACACATCTTGGTGCTGCTTCTCTGCAGCGGCAACAACCTCCGCATTGATCTGGCATTGGTAATCCTTGAACTTCCGTGCCGGCACACCAGCGTGGAACATCTCTTGTATCTCGGCATACGTCCGACCCTTCATTTCCGGTAGGCAGTAGTAAAGATAGAAACACATTGGCACCGAGAGACCGAAGAAGATGAAGCATATTTTGCCTCCGAGATTGGCTTGATCGGTATTTATCAAGTAAGGCATTACTTGGAGGACCATGCAAGAAACTGCAGTTGCTGCCATGATGTTGATAGAGTACGTCTTTTGTCGTAACAGCGGACTGGCGGTTTCACCACCAACAGCGTAAGCCACGGCACCGAGGGTAGCTTGATACTGTCATTCCAGTCAACACGTTAGCAACGGAGCATTGATTTGGCAACAAATGATCAGATTGTGCATTATGGAGATTCAAACATACCAAAAATCCCCATACACACATGAATGCAACTGTGGCGGAGAGTCCGGGCTTGGTGTTGATTGTACTGATACCACCGACAAGTAGTAGGCCGCAAGTCATGATGATCATTCCGCCAACGATCATAGGACGGCGGCCTAGTCGGTCGACCAGGGGCCACGAACAGATATTGCCAAACAGCTGGATTGCAAATGCTGCCTGTGCGACACCAATGGGGTTTTTAACACCAGCAAGACGGAAGTAATAGCTTTTCGTAAGTTAGTGGCCCAGAAACTTCGGTAATTTGTGCTTGACAACTTACGTTAAATATCCAGCAATGAAGTTGACCCCAATGAATTGTTGAGCAATATACACCTTGTTTCTTTAGCGATTCCTTATCTCGTATTATCAAATAATTGCATGACTTACCATAACGATGATCAGGGTTCGCCTCCCATCAGATCCCTTGAAACACTGAATCCAGGAAGACCCAGCACGCTCGAGCTCTTGTTCTTGTGCAACAGCAGCGGTGGCTACAGCCATTGCAGCATTAACGTCGAAGCGAGGTCCGTTAAACTTTCGGAAGGATTTAGCCGCCTCTTCATGCCTACCCTTGATGATAAGCCAAGACGGTGACTCGGCAAGGAACGGCAAGCCAAGAAGCAAGAGAGCAGGAGGGATCATCTGAGTGATGATAGGAATTCTCCATGCGTAGTCATTGTGTCGATTATCAGAAGCCAATACGGCAAGGGAGTTAAGCCACTGCCCGATGACTATCATGGTGTTCTTCAAATATCTTTGTTAGCCATCTCCGTTTTTGGGTGCCCTGTGCTTTGACTGATGCGGTTTAAGTTTACGTACCACAAGCGAAAGACAGATTCCTCTCATTTTGGGAGGTGCCAACTCAGCAACAAAAACGGGGCCAAGCGAATGTCCAAGGCCAAATCCAAAGGTTCCAAGTAACTTTCCTCCAAATAGCTGCGGGATGTTATGGCTGAAGTACTGTGTCAAAATCCCAGCGATGCATAGGACGCAACCAAAGATGATCGTCTTCTTGCGGCCAAGGAAGTCGGAGATGAAGCCAGTGGCGAAGGCAGAGACGAAAAGCCCAACAGTGGTGGCAGCATTCAGGATTTGTTGGTCTTTTGCTAGAATGACCAGCTCCCCGCCGCTCACTTTACCAAAGCGCTCGAGGAATGGCGTAACCGCGAGTAGATTCCCGAGGGTGCTATTTTCATAGCCGAAGTTGACAGGAAGAAGAAATATGAAAAGGCCTGTGCAGAAGATGGAACAATTAGTTGCTTGTATGGAGAAGTAGCTGGAACAACGAGGGAAGACTTACACCAAGCCAAAACTCTCTTGTTGTGCCATACTTCTGTGAAAGTTATCTTGTTATCGGTCGGCGTCCCAGCAATGCGGGACTCTTCAAGGTGCTCAGCATCTGTAGTGATTGCTCCCTGAAGTTTGTGGCCAGGGGCAGGGGCTGGCCCTGGCGTATCCGGGTTCGACATATTGAATTATGATGAACTAATTATCTCTAGAGAGGAGATGACGTGTACAGCGGCAGGTCCTCGGAGTACGTGTTCATGAGATATTGTTGAGCAGATATAAATATCGATATGCTTGTCGTGTTATTGCCTCTAAATAGAATATTGAAGTTGGTCAAGCAAGCACATGCCGGCCAGTCAAGCAGCCACCCCACAATCGATCAGGACCTACTATTTGGGGTTGTGGAGTGCATTGCGTGATGCACGACGCAAATCGAAGGCGGGACTGGGGAATTACTAGACTAGGACTGCAATGCGATCCAACAGCGACAGCTGAGGCATGATTGATAGCCAGATCTGGAAATCTTAGGCACAACGCAAGGAAAAAGAATGAGAATTATATCCCACGGCAGGTGGTAAGTCTACCCCGAAACCCCAATCCCCTCAGTGCGGGACGAAGTGGCGCGCCCATGATTCACTAAAAAGTATCTATCCCCAGACCGGCAACGCTGCGCCCTCATCCCGGAGCTAGTGCGCTCTATTTCACTGGCCTTGCGAATGACCACATTTTCGGCAATGTGGATAGGGAGTTTGGCCGCGGCAATTAATCTTGAGGCAAGACTCTCTCAATGGCTTGCTCCTTTGAGACGGTTTCTGCAATGTAAGCTCTTTGATATCCAAAGTTACATAGGAAGACTAACTCCAATTGCTGTGTTTTCTATTCCGAAACTCCAATTGATCAATTGTATAGCCAAATGTGCAGCCGTTGTTCTCATAGGAATTCTGGCACAATGACCTTCCCTCAGTTGGAGTTTTCCCTTCCCCCACTACCTAAACCAGTGTCACCCAACTATGCCTATGTACGAGATGAATGGGCGCAGCATCTCATTCCTAAAAGCGTGCACACCGTAACCGGTCATATCGATAATCCCGAGGCTTTGCTGTCACCTGATGTCGACAGCTTCGCAGCTCTGTCCAGGCAATCTCTAGACGACCCAGAACCATCCATCATCCTGGACTATGGTGTAGCCGTTGCCGGCATCCCTGTTATCCGCATACATGAAATTGAAAGCTCGGATGCATCACCGAAAAGAGCTGTCGTCGACTTCGCAGTATCAGAGGGCTACAATGGTATCCTTCGTACGGATGGCGACGGGCCATACCCTTTCTCAGCTGGCGCGGACACATGCCGTCGGACGAGATTTCGACTGCGCGGCACCGGCTTCTACGAGGCGAAATATGTCCAGGGCAGCCAAAGATGGCTCCGCCTATCCCTTGTTTCTCCAGCACCTTGTACTGTGAAGGTCTCTCTTGCAGGCTTCATTCCCACGACCTCCAACATCCCCGTGGACCAACTACCTGGCTATTTTCAATGCTCAGACAGTTACCTCTCTGAGATCTGGGGCTATGGTGCGCGGACACTGCAGCTGAATTGTATCCCGGCAAGAACGGTACCGCCGCCATGGCAAGTATCGGAAGACATGGGCGCCTTGATTGATTCCCAACGCTGTAACGCCTATGGCTGGGGTTCCGAGTGGACAGACTACGAGGTGCAGTTCAGTGGTATGGTTCTCGAAGGAGGCCTGGCGTGGACAGTGAGAGTTACACCAGGAATGCCGAGTATGCTTTTCCAATTGATTATTAATGAGAATGATACAAAATTGGAGCAATGGTTTGGTTATTACAACAAGCCACAAATAACTCTAGAGCCCAAGTTCATCACGAGCGTAGATGTAACCAAGAGCGGTCTTGTACTTGGCCAGTGGTTCGACGTGAAGACTGTCTGCAATGGCGAACAACCCATTCAAATCAGCATTAACGGCATTGAGGTAGCAACCTTCAAGCAAGGTGGAATCAAAGCTAGTAAGTCATCTATGTCTGTGAGATACGTTGTGAACAGTGCTGACCGGAATTAGGCGGGTTGGCAGCTTTGTTGCAAGCAAATGGCGATGACTTCCCATTCTCCCCGAAAGGCTCAGTTGGTATAGGGGCAGGGCAAGATCAGCTATGTCGCTTCAAAGACCTTTCAGTTACATCTTTAGTCGACGGCAATGTTCTTTACGAATCCGGACTTAACAACGCTGCTGTTCTCTCCGATTTCGGCATTGCCTGGAACCAGTTTCCGTGGATTTCTGACGGTGCTAAACGGGATAGATATCCCTGGACTGCTGATATTATCATCGGTGGACGCTCCTTATACTACTCGACGGCCGGGATTGAGTATATACGAGGAAATATAGTTGCGTCTATGACAAGGAACAAAGAGCCATCACTGCTCTTACCAGGAGGCTGCCCTCCCGGCCGTGATCCATGCAGAGACGGAAAAGATGGCATGTTCGCCGTGATGACGGCAAACTACTCCATGTATCTCATCCTGGTCATTTATGATTTCTGGATGCACACTGCAGATGATTCCTTACTCCTTATCTGTTGGCAACGCATTAAAGGATGTATATCATTCTTGGCGGAGAATCTTACAGCAGATGGCCTGCTTCAATTGCAAGGCATGAATGGTAAGGCGTGCCCGGCCATCTTTACAAGGAATTCGCTGATTTCGTTGTAGCGGGAGATTATGACTATTACAACGGTATTCAAGAGGGCATCTCGACAAAGCGCAACGCGCTTTTCATCGCAACTCTCCGCGCATGTGCCGAAATGGCGCTTTCTGAAGCCATTGTAGACACTGAGGCAAGGGATCGCTATCTTTCGTTAGCAAACACCGCGGCTCAGGCAATTGACAAGATCTGCTACAATGATACAACTGGCCATTACAATATCACTGATTCTAGGACTTCCGGGTTTCAACAAGAAGCGCACGCATGGCTGGTACTTCAGGACCTCATCCCACACGACCGACACGCAAGCATTCTAGAAAAATTCACCACGCTTCGCCAAGGTAGCCACAACGGTGCTCCGCTATCCTTCACCGCCGACACGCCTAAAGTGCCTCCCGTCATCTCGCCCATTATGTCCGCGTTCCATGCGCAAGCAGCTATCCACACCGGGAACCACGCTGAGGCTGAGCATGTGTTGCGCAGCGTCTGGGCGCCCATGGCCGATGTCTCGAGTCCGCATTTCACTGGCACGACATGGGAGTTCCTGCGTGGTGACGATGGAGCACCCTTCAAGGGCGACTTCTGTTCGTATGCACAGCTCTTCAGCGTTGGCCCAACATTCCTGCTATCACGGTATGTCCTTGGCGTCGAGCCAGTCACGGCCGGCTTCAAGCAATTTGTTGTCAGTCCACGCTTGCAAATAGCAGATCTCCGATGGGCACAGGGCAGAGTCCCAACACCAGTAGGAGAAGCAATTGTGGTTCGCTGGGAGTTATTTGAGACAGGCTGGAAGCTTTGGTGTCAAGCTCCCAGAGGTTTGGACGGTAAAGTGATCATACCTCAAGATATTTGGGACAAAAGGTCAAAGGTTCTTGTGGGCGGTGTGCCACACGATGGTGGCAGGGAAATCAACGTTTGGAGCACTGGAGTTATTGAGATCAGTGTGTACTTTGAGACCACATACATATTTAGAACCTAGATAGATCTTCTCCAGCGTTGTCTATATCATCCACTGCCTAGTGCCTCAACTGCTACATTTTACCACGAAATTTGCATTCATTCCTTGCTGAGTATCTGGAGAGCGTCACGCAAGGGGAGTTAAGATCCCTGTGACCATTTACAGACAGAGTTGTATTCTTACCAAGCTATTCTGTAGAAATTATGCCATAGCTGCGTATTGATGGGTCATCCACGTCGGCCACGTGCTAGAGTTGAAGGAAATCGGCATGATCCGAAGCACCGACTTTGAGATGGCTTACACGAGTCGTGCAATGTGGAGCCAGCCAATGGCATTATTGGGTTCTCCGCGGCGAAACCCCTGCTTGATCTCGGCCATTGTGCGCCACTAACATCACCAGACACTCCCCCCACAACATACAAATTGTCCTGGGGAACAGGGCTGCGGGGACCAAGGGAGGGGAGCGCAAAGAAGATGCGCATTTCATACGACAAGAACTGAATGGTCTGGTAAGCGGTAAATATCTCCTGATCGAGGAAATACTCTATCTATACTTGCATTTAGACTATTTCTTTTGTCTAGTGAAAACACAATCTAGAAATTGGGGTACTGGAGGGAGCGAATGCGTCCTAGACAAGCCCCTAATAGTCGTGGCTCTTCTTTGAGAAGATACTTTGGTAGGGT